TAACAAATTTAGTGCATTTACGGGATAGGTTCTGGATAAGACTGCTATAGTGTGCCGTAGAAACATGTGACTTGGCCGCAGGCCTTAAAACTTGGAAAGGATGCAACAAAATGGCGGCCAGTTAGGCGATCGCCCATCTAACCAAGGTCAAACGCACCTTCCGGAAAGGCTGCATGCCTCCGCTGAATCCTTATGCTCCCAAACTGCCGGAGCTCTTGCTGAGCTCACTAAATGACCTGCAGAACCCTGTCTAGCCAGACCAGTAAACAAAGCCTAGACCCTTTTAACTCCAATCCCCGATGCCCAAAACCAGTTAAACGTCGAAGCACCGAGCCAAGACCAGTTTGGTCTCCTCGCAATTCCTGGCAAGGCTTCGGTAGTAACGGCACTGGCAATAACAATAGTGATAAGTGTACCAAGTAGAATAACCAACTGACAATTATGACAATATTGAAAATAGAAATAATTAGAAGAATGATAGTGATAACTGAGGGGTCCAGCTAGTCTTGGCTTGAGGGATCTTGAGGGCGTCTTTCCAGCCGTGGGCATCAGCCCGTGCTACGCAGTGCAGTGAGACGCTTAGTCGTGTTAGTGTAAGAAGGGCTTCGATCTCTTTTCGACACTGCGTGTGCTGGTTCTAGGTTTCATTGCACGGCCAGGGCGCCCGAATCAATGCAGCGCCATTTGACTTGCACGCAAAGTCAGGGCTAAAGGTCTTCTGCAAGTATGTCTTGCACTCGGAAGAGGTTCCGGAGACGAAAATTATGGGTTCTTGTCGAGGCTCGTGCGAGGGTGCACAGCCAAAGACTCTAGAATACTAATACTTTTGGCTCCCGCATGGCGCGTCTAACGACTGCATAGCAGGTAACACGTGTGCGTTGTAGATACTGCGAAACTGTACACTCAGCATCAAGGCGAGTTTGTCGCTCCCAAGTCCCTCACCCACAAATCTCCCATACGATGAAGACACACGACCCGAAGTTGTGTGGTGTCAGGACGGAGCCAGTGCAAAGGTAGAAGCGTGTCTAGGCTTCGTTCACGTGAGTCCGCTTGACAGAGACAACACAACCGATTCAACACTAAGTTAAGGACACATCAGTACAGCAACTCACGACCTGCCAGAAAGGACTACTTCAGGTGCCGCCCCGTAGCACTCGTCATGTTGGCTGTCGACTTGAAGCTGCGACGCGTGAAATTACAGGTACCACAGGCCAGCGGCAGGTTGGGTTGATTTTCGGCACTAAGCATGTCCTGCTCCACGTAAGCAGCGAGCGTCGCCTGTCGGATGGCTGAAGGACTCCGTCCGCCCAATGCTTGGAATATCTTGTTTCTTGGAACCAAAACCTACTATTTGCTTAAGAACCCCCCAAAATATAAAAATAATAATCCCCATATATTACCACCATAAGGAATATATTTTTTATTTTTTGGGGGTTCTTAAGCAAATAATAGAAACCAAACTCCTGATCTGATGCCCGAAACCCGGAAACCCACCAGCCCGAGGCGAAATCGCCTGCCGCAGCGGCAGCAGTGCCGAGAGCAATGGGATGGCGACACGCACTGGCACGGTGCCCTGCGGGTGGTTCTGAGGTACCAGTAGAGCTTCTTGCAGTCACCCCAGCAAACATACCTGTCAACCTCCACCTTGGCCTTAACCCGGCGACATTGCGTAATGAACCAGGCATTTGACTTGAATTCCCAGAATGTAGTATCTTCTATCGACTTGTGACATGCACATACCCCGACGACTCACAACTCTACATGGACATGTTCCCCGGCTTCGGAACTCAGCCTACAACCTTGCTCGAAATTTTGGAGTTCGCGGCCCGGCATGACGAAATATGCACCCCGTGACCTGTTTTATAGGGCATTTATGCGGGAAATGTCAAAGCCCGGCAAAGCTATGACTCCCAAGCTATGACTCACAAAGGCACGTCGCTTGCAAGCAGCTCGCCTCAGTCTCCAGAGTGTCACCTTGTTCAGAGCCAGCGAGAAATCCTGGAAAGCAAAAAGGGACTGAGTTTCGTGGGGGGAGGTGATGATATAAAAATCGAGGGCTCATGTGTGTCGTGGAGTTGGGGTCGACTCACTAATATAAATGCACGCGACGTGATCAAGGGGAATCATGGAAATTCCATCAGCTGGCAGTGTGTGCCGTGGCCTCTTGTGCGGGTACGCCCAAAATTAGCTTTGACATGCCACATGATGGCGATGACAACTGCGCCAGGCAGTTTTGTTGTCTATGCAAGGCGCTACAGTGCCTCCATTCTTCGAGTCCATGTCTTCAAAAAAACAAGAACCGACCCGATCTGGCTCCGAAAACCGAATTCCAGGCCCTCTCTAAACCCTTTGTTCGAACCAAGAAGCGTAGCCCCGTCATGATGCGTGCTGGCGCCATGTCCTCGTGGCACAGACTGATGTAAGGACCCGGTCAAAAATAGTTCGTAGAGCCCCCACACAGTACCCAATTCAGCATGTGTAGTAAGAAGCTTCTTGACAGGTTCCTTCAACGTTAGGGAACATCCGGTGATGTATGATGTGCCCAGTGAACGGCATAAACAGTGTTGGGCTAGGAAACCTGTTACGGTTGCGCCGTCCGTTTGTAGCGGCATCCGGCTACGCCGAGGCAATGCAAGAAAACATGGGGATGGCGACGGCATTTTCATGATGATGATGATGACGATGATGATGAGGTTGATGGTGGTGGTGGTGCTGCTGGTGGTGAGGTTGGTGGTGCTGACGGCGATGGCCCTGAGATTCGAAGGACACTTATCGGCACCGTCATCTGGCAGAAAAACTTACGGTACGATTCAAAATGCTGGACTCGGCCTGCAGCATCTCCCTGGCCATGGGTATGGACAGCGAGCCGAATCTGCTTCGACAAATGGGACAGCGCCTGTGCCACTACGCGGGGTGGGATCAGGGTCTCAGGCTGTCGTCAAACTGCTCTTACCATGACCGTTCGTCTCAAGAGTGGTACTATGACGATGAATCTCGGCGCTTATCACTGGTGATGGTAAGAGCTTCGATTTGTGAACGCGTGTTGCTGGTATCTTTTGTAAACTCTTGAATAAAGTAAAAAAGTTGAAACAAAGGTAAAACAAAGGTATCTGAGAAATGTGACAAAAACGTAACACCGCAAACGAAGGAGCTTTCCGGACACCGCATTTTTACTTTGGTTTTTGAAGGCCACCTGCTTTGACGTTTGTGTTCGCGGCCACCTCCTGTTTACCTTGTCTGTACCTTTTTTGTAATTTGCGTTGAGTTGTTTTAGTTCTCCTTACCCTTTTTAGCTTTTCCTTAGGAAAAGCTACCTGTCCAAGAGGAGGAGGAGGAGGAGGAGGAGGTAGAGAGGGGTCGGGGATGGGTTCGGGAGGCCGGACGGGTGAGGTGCGCTTTCCCAGTAGCGTTCTTTTTTAACCTTCTCTCGAAAGTGTTACCTTTCTTCTACATTTTCACCGTAGCTTTACTTTACCTTGGTTTTACCTTTGCAAATATGTATGATGAGATAGTCAATGCCAAGTAGACGCTCACCAGCATCGATGCATTCTTAAAACCATTAGTAATGATATGTTGGTGTTCTTTGAATATAAGTATAATACAATAACCCCAAACCCTGTTATAACTATTGAGACCCCGGCTTTCTCAGAGGGTCGGTACACCAGACCAACGTCGGAGCAAGGTGCCACCAGGCTAGCTGGCGCTGGCAACTCGACGGTTTGTTAATTGTCAGTTAACTTCGTTGGAAAATGTTGCAAAATTTCGATCGAAGTATCTGAACAACTTCTTGAGCTGATGACAGGTCTGAGGGGCTGTGCGGCTGAGGGCACCTCTTTGTGACTTCCTGTGCTGAAGCCCTTCCAGGGTTGCACTCCAACTCCGAGGAGGCTTATGAGTCCCGGATCAGCTGGGTTTCGGGTTGAGGCTTTCTCCTGCCGTTGCCGCAAGTAGGGTGGCCTTGGTCTCAGCCGCTCGGCGCACTCGGCATGGAGATAGTGGGGACCTGAACAACCAGGTCTCGCTAGGCCACTGAGTGATGGGGTCGCCCTCCTGCATTGTCAGGCCCATACGGACGGCCAATCGGGAAAAGCACCGCAGATTGATGGGCGATTCAGCTCATCTTCTACGGAATTTGTAGGGCCTCTTAGCAATTTGGACAGGGTTTTGTAGGGTCTGTAGGGGCAGGGGTTTTAGGATCTAGCCTGGCCAAACCCCAGCCGCACAGATTTGTGCTGGGGTGCAGCAAAGGCTTTGACCACCGGGCGCCAGCATCACCACCACAGGCCGCGTGCAAAGCGAGTCGAGACAAATGCCTGTCGTCAGTATGCTAGACTCGACACTCTTTTTGATCGCAAGCACAGTTCTAGCTCCGTGGTACTGCCAAGGTGCAGCATACCTCCAGCTCCTGCTGCAGAAGCCAGCAACGAGAACTCACATTTGCAATCTCGACCCTCAGCCACGAAGGCTCACAGACTCCTCCGACTCGCTGTGCATGTCGCTGCTGTGGCTCGATAGCATGTGGAAGGGCGACATCGCCATGGCTTCGAAGGAGCCTTACAGCCAAAGCTCCATACACCTGTGAATTCAATGCTTTGAAGTTGCTGACAAGTGTACTTCAACTCGAAACTTGAAGGCCTAGCTACCCTGATTCTGAGATTCCAAACTTGTTGGTCGCTTCAGGTCATCTTTGCCGGCTCTAGTGGAACATGTGGGACTTGATGCAATGCTTGTCGGAGATGCATTTCTTGTGGTTCTGCCCGGCCAGGATGCATACGGTTTTGCTGCATTCCTTGCGGAGACACATGCACGTGGTCCATGCTGCACCTGGAGCCAGTAGTTGCTCGGACGGATTCCACACACGATTCCTGCACTGCTGCCTACTTTGGAAGACCCGAGTGGGACACCGTAGCACCAACAATACCAAACAGGCACAGAAAAAAAACAGCAACGATAGGGCTTTCATGAACAAGAGCCCAACATCCCCAAGCCGTGATCAGTGCCTCCAGCAACTTTCTGAGCACAGTCCTCACCTTGGTGTTTGGACTAGGGCATGGCAGCAGTACTCCTCGATGGCGGTGGTAATGTGAGCTCGTGATTAGTAATGGTCCCCTCAATAGACCCAAACTCGGCCCGGGACTCAATAGTGGAAAGGCCCCCTCAATAGAGCAAAACTCGGGCTGCACGCAAGAATCCCCCCCCCCCCCCCGCCCCGGCATAGTCGCAATTCTTGCTGCACCACTACTGTACGACTCATGTACTACCGTACTGCTACGGTAGCAGTCATTACTATACCCGGAGAATGCATCTCTTAACAGCAACAGAGTCTTTGTCCGTTGCAGCAGAGGCACCAGCTCCACCTCAAGAAGATTGTACTTGCTCCTGGGTTCTTCGGCACTCTTTCGCACTGAGCAGGCCTTTCCGAGGGTTCTTGGGCGGGGAAACTGATTGAAACTCTAATCCTCTAATCACAGACTTGAGAAAGGTGTAGTTGGATCGCCTATTCGAGTCACACCAAGCAAATTGGTGGACATCCCGTTTTGGGAAACAAAAGCATAGTACTTGTAGGCCTGCAGCACTGGGGGCAGCTGATTCTTCCTGGTTGCTTTCCTTCACTACCAACGCTTCAAAGCAGCGCACTTCTCGTGTTCAACACGCCTGATATGACTGATCTGCATTGATTTCGTTTCTCTTTCAGCTTCGGCTTTGCTGCCTCCATGCTTTACTTCCTTCCTGCTTGGCGCCATACTCGCAAGAGCGTCACGACATGAGCGCAATGAGGCTCGGTACAAGAGCCCCGAACACATCCACCTGCTTCTGTGCCGGGATGTTCAGTGAGCCCTTCGGGTAGCCCCGTGCTGCCAATCGCCATGAATTATTGAGTTTTGTAACCCAACATCCGAGACATGCGTCCCGCAGCAGGGCATCTGCCTGGGAAAAATTAGCCTTTGCATCCTGTGCCTGTACTTTTTAACATGTAAACAGCACCAATATGCACATGTGCATATCTATGCCTGTACGCCTACGAACTACATGACCAGCTCTTGATACAAGGGTCCCTTCGTTGTTTTGGCTCTCCATGTTGGTGATGCCCACACGCCCGCCAAAAGCTCGTAGAAACTCTGTCGCCGTCTGGCAAGCTTCGAGATGTTTTGACAATCTAAATGACCAACCTATGCCGTGTCTGTTGCCACCCAAAACCATTCTTAGTTTTGACCAAACCCAGGCAGCGCAAGATGTCGCAGCCGGCCCTGGACTTGCTGCCTGATCTGGCAACCGTTCACCCTCAATGCGATGTCTGCCCTCAAATCCCTCCATGCCCTCACCTAGCTCCTGATGGGAGGCCAAACTGGGGGTTTAAGCTTCTTGGGGTAAGGATTCCTGCCCTATTATGGGAACCCTAATCCCTACTAAACTCAAACCCCTTTTGGCCTCCTATGAGCTCTGCCCGTCGAGGCCTCGCGGCAACCTTCCGAAGTATCCAGGAACAGGATCGGCGCCTTTCGCTGCAACGACCTGAGCCCCGCGGGCCCCGTGTCAAGGCTACGCATGTAGGGGCCTTAACAGTTGGAATAGGGGCCTTAATAGTTGGAATAGGGGCCTTAGTAGTTGGAATAGGGGCCTTAATAGTTGGAATAGGGTTTGGGGGTATGTTACACTATAGTCAGTATCTTCGAGGTTGTAGGACTTGTGGGTGGGTTTTGGGGCTCACCCTCGGACAATCCAGGCGAGGCATGCGGTCACTATATAGAAGTCGGTCATATTAGTGCTTTCACAGCACGCCACAAACGAATGAGGTCTCTTGGCTCGGAGGGTTTAGGGTTGTTTTAGGGGTTTTAGGGTCCGGCCTGAAGGGAGACAAGGGGAGACAAGGAGAGAACAAAACAGGCATTGGCCACTAACGCACAGTGCGAAGTGTCGGCATTCCTTTGAACTTGCAGATGAACACGAACCTCGTAAACTGCTTTGGGAGAAAATGAAAAACTGACCTTACTTATCCCTGACGCAAACAATCCACGACTCACTCTCTGCAATAGAACCTGCCAGTGCAGGACGTGCGGCTTGCTGAGAAACGGGTGGGTCATCACGCACGACGAGAAGGTGCTCAGCGGCAGGCCATCCTCACCGGCTGACACCGCTGTGCGAAGTTGTGATTTCCCACGTTTAGGGCGGGTGGCCTTGTTCAACGGGGTGAAGGGTGCAGTCTTGCACTGACTGCTTGGCGCCAGTTTCGCGACTGGCTGCGGCTGCATGCAAACAATTCAACAAGCGTGTGGCTACTTCCTCCGATTGTAATTAATGGGCACAACGCCCGCCCAGACATCTCCACGTGTGTGCGTGTGTGTGTGTGTGTACATGTTACATGCATACGCGCATTTGTGCCTCTGCTGCTCCTAACATAACATCCGGCAGAGTTACAAACTTCCATTCCAGTCGAGTCAACTAAGACCACAGTGTCCTGCAGCCTGCCGTTGTAGAACTGCGAACTCGGCCACTCACGGATCAAAGGATGCATGCGGTACTGCACCTGAGTTTGATTGGGCTGAGCTGTGCTGAAATCTGAAAAAGTGACCTTTAGCTCTGTGGTGAGCTGCTGCCCAGACACGCACCCCTCCTTACGCAAATGACAAGGATCAGTGCGCTATGACATGTCACCTGGCCTGCAGCATGCTGATCTCCTGGTTGAAGAGAGTGGGGGAATTGAGCAAGCGGTCAAAAAGCGAGCATCGCAGTCCTTACCGGGACACACCGCAGGCGAGATCTTTCGGCAGCATGAACAACAGGGCACCTATCACGCATCCCTTTCCAAGCGAGTGTCCCTTCTCCTCAGCAGCAGGACAGAGGACCACTGGTGGCAGCTGCTGTTGGTCGCCGACCATGATAAGCTGCGCCTGTGCCTTCCTGGAGTCTGAAGATCAAGGCTTGGATGTTCCGGGGGTGCTGGCCTTGCTGGCTCCGGGTCTACTCAGCACTGCTTCAATATTGGCCTCCAACTTTTCCCGGTTGCCCCAATCGGCTTCCTACCGGAAAAGCCACCCTCGTGACCTCGCCGACACAGACAACCGTTTTCCCCGACGGGTACCCAAAAGAGCTACGACGGACGAACCCTTTCTTTTTGGATGGTTTGAAGCGCATTCGCGCCGGGTCCGTCGCAATCGCCAGTACGAGGCAAGCCGGCGCCGGGGGACGCTTTTAGCTGCCCCGGCCCGCTGCCCGCCAGCGAGCGACGACCCGAAGGTCTCCAAATGAAAAATCTCTCCCCCAATAAGGGCGGTGAGGGTGGGAGCTGAAAATCGTCGGGGGACGTGGAGCAGACAGCGGCTGCAGCATCCACGTCGATTCGACGGTTGTCCCTACGCACATGAATGTGCTACACGACAACCGTTTTCCCCGACGGGTACCCAAAAGAGCTACGACGGACGAACCCTTTCTTTTTGGATGGTTTGAAGCGCATTCGCGCCGGGTCCGTCGCAATCGCCAGTACTAGGCAAGCCGGCGCCGGGGGACGCTTTTAGCTGCCGCCCGGCGCTCCCCTCACCCACTCTGCGCCGGCTTAGCCCGCTCACACCGCCAGATTCAGTAGCTCGTCGGCGGCGTCGTTCACCGCGAAGTCCAGGTCGGCGGCGGCACGGGAGAGCACCTTGAGGATCGACTCGACGGGTGTGTGAACCCGCTCCCAGCCGGAACTTTCCGCCGTGTGAAGGTCCCCTCTCGACACTGCGTCGGAGACGTTGGCTTTGGACGGCACCCGACGGAAGTCGGGAAGCCATTCCGACAGAGCCGCCGTGGACCAAAAGGCCGCCAAGACGCCGTTGACGGCGGGGTCCTTCCCGTACCCTTTGGTGAGTGCCCATTGGCCGGCGACGTTGTCGATGAAGGCCAGCCACCTCTGGGGCAACCGACGGGACAATCACCTGGGCGACGATCTCGAGGACGTAGATAAACGCCCGACGGGAGGCGAAAATGTCCAGGAACTTGGCCGGCACCACGCCGCAGTCATAGAAGACGAGGGCGCCGATGCGGACGACGAAGCCCCAACCGTTCCGGCCTCGGGTCCCCGGCCGGATCCCGACTTCTGCCGGTATGTGCCCGGCTTTGTGTCTCACCTCGCCGGGCTGGTAGAAGGCGTCGGCGTAGATGATCGCCGCCGGTGCCCCGTCGTCTATGATGGGTACCCTCCTTGGCCGGATGTCTGCCAGCAGGGCCCGGAGAGACGTGAGGGCTGCCCGGAGGCCCGTCGACAGCGACGTGGCCGACGTGGCCGCCGCGTCGTGTGCCCTTGAATAGACGGGCTGAAGGGCTGCCTTCCCCAGGGCGCCGAAGGTCGACTGGGTGATGAAGTTGAGCTTGCCGGCCAGACGGTTCGCCACATCCGGCGTGAGCTCGTCGTTGGCCAGTGCGTCGTCGATCGTCGTCAGGACCTTCTTGACGCGTCGTGCGGTCGGCTGCAGGACCACCGCGTCGGTCTCGACGGACACGAGGACCCCCTGGACTGTCTGCTGAGTCGCCGGGGCCTGGGCCTTGGACGGCTTCGTCTGCAACCCGACGAGCTCGAAGAAGTCGGCCATCGCCCGGAAGGCCGAGTTCGCCGACTCATCCATGTCGACGCCGTTGAAATCGTCGACGAAGTGGCCGGCCAGGATCCAAAGGAGCACCCGCTGTATGGCCTGGAGGGCGTCGGCTGTCCGGTTAAAGTGCCACACCGACGCGGCGGCGCCGAAGCACATCGCCATATGAAACCAGAGGGATACGCCGGCTGGGCCCGCGATGAAGGTGCCGGAGTGCGCCGGGTGTTTGACCGGCCACTGGCGGTAGGCGTTGAGGAGGTCGTGCCCGAATATCCTCGCCAGTGTCACCGGCCCCCCCGCCTGGTCGACCACTCGCCGGACCATGTCCACGAAGTCGTCGACGAAGTGGTGCGTCGGGACGTCGTGGGCCCTGACGGTGGAGTTGTGTCCGGACCTGCGCCAGTCTTCGGCGCGACGGACCTTCGCTCCTCCCTGTTCGTCTTCTTGCACGACGGGGAAGGAGGCTGCGGCAAAGGCCTGGCCCGGCGGCGGCGGGACCAGACGGTCGGCCCCCGGCCTGTCGAGGAGTGCCGTCGTCTTGAAGTTCCAGCCGTCGGGGGCCCGAGTTGGGCCGACCACCCGGCCGAGACGGACTTCCTCCACGAGCTCGGCGAGGAGGGTGTCGGTGTGCTCCCCGACGGTGGCTGTGGAAGCCCGCCGCTTGATGTACTCCCAGTTCGCCGACGCGAAGTTCTCGATCGACGCCGGGTTGGAGTACTTCTCGTCGGTTCTGGTTCGCCACCCCGGGCCTCGGCGGAGTTCGCCCAGCATGTCGAAGCCGTCGGTCAGGTCCTCCTGCATGCCGGGGACGTCGGGGTAGCCGACGATGCGGAGCAACTCCAGGATGACGGGGATCTGCGTCGGTCTCGCCTTGCCCGGTGTCGAGTATGTCGATCTGACCGACGGCGACCGGTGCTCCAGCCAGCGCTGCGTGTGGTCCTCCATGTCGTCGACGAGGTGGGAGATGTCCTGTAGTACCTCCCGCCGGATCCTCGCCAGGTCGTGGCGCCACGACCGCCAGAGGAGCAGTACACGCTCCAAGGCCGGCTCCAGATCGGGCCGCCGGGTCACCGTGCAATGCCGCAGGGACGCCGACAGCTGCCAATGAAGGTCCGGGTCGTCGTCGGGGAGGTCGATGTCCGGTCGGTGTCGCGGCGGTGGCTCCATCGGCACCGGTCCCCCGCCGAACTGCTCCGCTGCCCACTGGAGGGTTGACCGACGTGGCTCAGGTACCGGTGCTGCCGTCGCAGAGGAAGCGACGGAGAAGGCCACGATGATCGCCAGAAGGCGGCGGGCTACCCCCCAGTGCCATCCGTTGGCGATGACGCGGTGGCGGGCGGTGTCGTCGACGAAGCTGGCCTGGGTGTAACCCGACGGGATGTGGTGAAGGCGCTCCTTGACGCCCGCCGGGATGTTGTGGAGGCGGCCCGCGTCGTCATGCATCATGGCCTCCTCGACGTAGTGCCAAGGGGCGAACCGTCGGCCGTCCGCCGCCCAGCGGGCCTTCGCCGGTTCGGGAAGCTTCTGCCGAACCCTCTTCGGGGGCTGCCTCCCGCCGGCGTCTTCAGCCGGTGTCGTAGAGCACGGGAGGCGCAACCTGCCGGACTCGACGGACTGGTGGAAAGAGAGGCCGGCCTCGGTGAGCTCGTCCGCCGGTTGTCTCGGGGCCTCGAGCCAGAGTCGGCGGTACGAGCCCTGCTTCGACCACTGAAGCGGTCGGCCCGACGCCGGGTCCACCAGGGCGCCGGTGAGGTCCGCCGACATCCACCATAGTCGGGGCCGGGAAATCCAGCCGAAGTCCGACCCGCAGACCAGGACCCCGGCTGCACGCCGAGGGCGTCGCTGATCTTGGCGGCGTCGGCGGGCTCCATCACGACGTTCTCGAAGAGGAACGCCACCCGCCGGTCGGAGAGGTCGGCGATGATCTGGTTGAACATGTCGACAGTGAGGAGGAAGAGGCTCCCCCTCTCGCCCGCGTGGCCGGTCGCCGGGCCGATTCGCGAAAAGTCTTGGCACGGCGGAGCGGCGGTGACAATCACGGTGCACTCGCCGGTCGGGTCGGCCTTCCTGACGGCCGCCGCGACGGAGCCGGGCGACTCCGATGTGACGTCGCCTCTGTGGACCAGCCACGGCAGCCTCGCCGACGCCAGCCGTCGGCAGGTGGCGTCAATCTCCCACGCCAGCGCCAGGGTCGGTTGACCGAATAGATTCTCCACCAGCGCCGGGGCCGCACCGATCCCGTCGAAGAAAGAGAGCAGGATGATTTTGGGCGCCCGCCGGGTGCGCTTGAGTGCCGGTCGGACGACGGTACTAGCCCATTGGCTGCCGGGTACCTCGCCGTGGTTGTCCGATCCGGGCGAGGCCCCGCGCTGTCCCTAGCGGCGGCGCTTGGGGTCCTCCCGACGGCCTTCGTCACGGCGGTCCTTCCCACCGCGACGGTCGTCCTGGTCCCACTGGTCCTGACGGCCGCGGCCCCAGGACTGGCGCCAGCCCTGGTCGCGACCCTCGTCGCGACCGGTCTGCTTCCAGCGGTTCTGGGGCTGGCGCCGGTCGTCGTAGTGATCACGACCCCAGTCCCTGTTGGCGCCGTCGTCCTCCCAGTCCTGCTCCTGGCGGCGCTGCTTCCCAGGACGGCGACGGGGCTGGCGACCTCGGCCCTTCCCCTTGGGGGTGTCGGCGGTGTGGTCGTCCTCCGTAGGTGGGCCTCCCGTCGGTGCCCCCGTCGGTCTCTTCGGCGGGCCGGGCTTGACGGCCGACTGGAGCGCCGCCTGGTCCGCCATGATCGCCGAGGTCACCTCCTCGAAGGTCCGGGCGAGGCGCATGGACATGGCGAGCTGGTGCGCCGTGGCGTCCCAATAGGCGACGACGGCCTCGAGCTTGCTCGAGTGGAGCCGGGCTTTGGTCGTCCACCAATCGACGTACCTAATGACGCCGGCTTCCGTCCCCACGCCGGTCAGGACCCAAGCCCAGCGGATGGCGTCCAGGCCGTCGACGACGGCCCATATGCCCCTCGGGACGAACGGCTGGTTCTCCTCCACCGCCAGGCCGCCATCCACGAACTTGATGTTCTGTGCCCCGCCGGCGCTGCGACGGCCGGCGAGGGGGTTGACGACGCCGAGGGAGGACCAAGTCCCGAGGCCGAGCGGCGTGTAGAGCTTGGACTTGGTGTGCTCCCAGTGGATCCTGGCGAGCACCTCCTCTGCTCTGACGAGGCGCTCCGCCGGGAACGAGCGGGGCTCACCCCCGAGCTGGACGGCGTTGTAGCGGGCGACGAGGTCGGTCCACTCCGGGAAGGTCCTCGGCGGCTTCTCGCCGACCATCGTCGGCAAGGTGGCCGGTGGTGGTGCTGCCGTCGACGGGGCCGGGGCCGGGGTGGAGAACTCGTTCCACTGCCGCCGGGCCTCCGACCACATGTGGCGGATGATCGCCCGGACGACCGGCTGCTCCGCCGGCGACGCTTTGTATGTCGTCCCGGCGATCTCGTCGCCGTCGCGGAACGGCTGGAAGACCCTCGCGTCCACGTCGGACCACTCGTCGGCGACGAGGGCGAGGGTGGCCGTGCGGTTGAGAGACCGCGCCTTCAGGTACGCGACGAGGTCCGGACCCGCCCCCGCCGACGTGGCGAGGTCGTCGAAGTCGGTCAGGACGTCGGCGACGAGCTGCGGACCCATAGCCATGATCACGACGAGGGGGCCGGCGGGGATGGACAGGCGGTGCGATCAAGGGCGGGCTGCGGCAAGAAACAAGAAGCACAGTGCGCAGCGACGGGCTCACCAAGTGCACGGCCCCGGTCCCTTTTCTCAGGACGACGACGAATCGTCGGAATCTGAGCTAGATGCCACTGGGGAGGCTGCCTCCTCCGTCGGCGACCCGACACCGTCGGCCGACGGGGCCTTCGGAAAGCACCTGAGGCACTTGGCGGCTCCCGCCGGCAGCTCGGTGATCCTATAAAAACTCCGGACGCCGTATGGCCAGGAACAACCCCGCGCTTTCCACAGAAAGCGGTCCGACGAAGCCTCCGTCGGATCAGGGGCGTGTGCCCGTTTCTGCCGCTCATTGTAAATGAGGTGCTCCGGCGGCGCGACGGCGACCTGCTTCACCGTCTCGGGTCTGACGGGGCCGGGCTCGAACGCGACCGCCGGGGAGTGATCTTCGGGCGGCGGCGCCTCCACCTGAGCCGGCTCGCCATCCTCCAGTGCCAGCGGCGGCTGGTGGCCGAGAGCCGGTGCATGGGGCCTTGGCCTGCGAGATGGCGTCGCCATACGCCGGCCGGACGCTGACTATCTCGACGTCCTCCGCCAGTATGCGCCGGGGGACGTCCGGGGCGACTGCCAGCGGCGCCGCCTGGACGTACCGCTCGACGGCGGCCGAAGACCATCGGCCCAGCAACTGGATGATGGGCGTGTTGACGCCCTTAGACGCCAGCCACGCTGCGCCGGCCACCCGTGCCAAATGGCCGTTGAAGAGCTGGACGGTGGCGCCGTTGTGGTCGGTGGTGGTCAGCTGGATCCCCGCCGCCAGCAAGACCCGCCGGAAGAAGAGGACGGCCTCTGACTTCTCCCATGTGTCACCGGTCCCGTCGGGGAACAGGGGTGCCCCACGCACCCACCGTCCGGCACGCCGAAGGCGGGAGACATGGCGGAGCGCCGCGTGGTATGGGCACAACGGCGCCACGGTCGCCCCGCAAGCGCACCGTAGCTGGCGTTGGGTCAGCTCGACCTCGCCGCCGGTCGCGGTCTTGTGCAGGGGAAGCCGGAGGGCGACGGTGCCGTCGGCGACATCAATGTCCTGCGTCCGCGCCGCTGAGAACTCGATCTCGCGGAGCATGAACCACACCGCCAGGATGAGGGCGTCGACGGCGTGTGCCGTGACCCACGGGCTCCACGCTTCGGCCCCCGGCGGGTCCACCCTGGAGACCAGGGCAACCAGGCGGTCGACGGCGAAGATGGCCTTCAGCTTCGAGCCGGGCAAGCCGCGGACCACTGCCCGGGCATAGCGTCGCATGGCCCGCCGGATGAGGGGGTCGACGGCCTCGCCGCGAAACTGTTCCTGGTATGACACGGCGGCGTCGAAATAGTTCTGGACGGAGCGATAGCCGCCTCGACGGAAGGTGGCGGCAACCTTCCGCACCGCCTCCGCCGAGATGGGCCAGGGAGCGACGGCCCAAGTCTCGCACGCTTCCTGCCACGTGCGGACTCTCGACTGGAAGGGTGCCTGGGACGACTTCGCCAGGATGTTCTCGTCGATTTCCGCCAGCGCCGCCTCCCTGTTCTCCGGGAGGGCCGCTTCAAAGGCGGTGCGTTTGCACGCTCGACGGGTGTCCCTCCTGAGCGGGATGTCCTTCCGCCTTTCCGCCGGCCGGTCGGGGACCGTCGCCGGGGGCGGGATTGGTCCGCGAACCGTCGCCGCGACCACTACTGGACCGCCGGTCGGTACTACGGCCGTCGCTGAGGGCCCTATCGCGGGCCCCGCCGGTACGATCTGGTTTGACGGGGCCGGTCCTGGGGACCGTCGCCCCTCTGGCTGGCCAGCCGAGGCGGTGGGAGGATCCCCCTCCCGACGGGACCTCCAACCGGCGAGTGCCTCGAGGACCGTGGCCGGGACGCCAGCTGTGACTAACGCCGAGGCCCGGGCTAGGGCGGAGTCGACGTCCACGGCGCCCACCGTCGGCAACAGGGGCAAATGGTCGGATGCCCCCAGCTCGACGAATGCCCTCACCAGCCGGCCGAAGTCCGCCGTCTGTCCACGGCGGGGCCGCATGGGGCAAACGGGGGCCTCGAGCCTAGGCGTGCGCCGGCCCTGGCACCTCGAGCCAACCGAACCTCCTCAAGAAAAAGGTAAAAGAAAAACAGGTGCACGACGAACGACGGGCAAGCAAGAAAGACTGCACTGCGACGGCCGCCCTCCTTTCTCGCGCCGGTGGCGCCTGATCGGCTCTGAGTCGGGCCCTGGGCGATTACAACGCCGGGCAGAAAAGGAATTAAATTAAGGCGACGGGAGAGGCCCGCGAAGGCTTCACCGACGCACCCCCTGAGGCTTGAATTCCCACGTCGCCAGCGACAAAGCCGTCGGTGAGGTCGACCTTGTAGAAGACGGCGACGGGGAGATAGCGACGGGGGCCGGCCGACCGGATCACCGGTGCCGGGACTGCTCGTGGCAGTCCTCGCACTCATGGTGGTCGTGGCGATCCAGGTCGACGGTGCCGCCGGCACGAATCAGCACCGGACGGAGGCATCTGCCGGGAATGCCGCGGCAGCGGCCGTTGGTGCACGGGTGCCCGCACCACCCGACGCACCAGATCTCGCCGGGGATCTTCTCTGGAATGCGGCCTCCCCGGACGCCGTGCGGCAGTGCCCGCAGCACATAGTACGCCGCTGCGGCGGCCGCCGGTACCATGGCTGTGGAGCCGCCGGCGGCGGCCCTCTCGATGTCCTCCAACTGCTCCAGGTTGGCGACGGTGAGGGGCCGGAGCGTCTCCGGCACTGTGACGTCGGACCTCACGCCGGACTTGCCCATCAGCTCGACGTGGTCGCGCCACTCCTGCGAGCAAAGCATCCGGCGGATATGGGCCAGACGCCGGTACTCGCGCCGGTGGCGCTCGAGCTCGGCGGGGGAGGCGTTCTGCCCCGGCCGCCGTGGAAGGATGGGGAAGCCGGCGCCGGTGATCGGGTCCGCGTCGGGGTACATCTCTTGCGGCGTTGGTGTAGGTGCCCTGCGGAATGACCCCGACGGTGCTGGCGGCGACGGCGACGGTGCCGAAGCGGCCGGCATGGCTTTCACCGGCGGCCCGCCGGTGCGCTGGTGTCGCGACTCATCCTCGAACTGCCGCCGGAGCTCCTCGGCGATGCGGTCCTGGTAGTCGACGATCGGCACCGGCCCCGCCTGGTCCCAGACCTCCGGCGGGCTGCCTTTCGGAACCGACGGCGCCGGGCGGGTGGGCTTCTGAGGGTAGCCCCCACCCGATGGCTTGCCGGCCGCCGGCATGTCGGCCGAGGACGACGGTGCTCCGGAGACCCCCGCGTGCGCCGAAGGAGGCGCGTGGTGCCTGTCGACGGGGGGTTCCGGGCACGGGTCGTCCGACGGCGCCGGCCCTGCTGCCGCTCCACTGGAAGACGCCGGTGTCGCCCTCGACGAATCGCCATATACACGACGGGCCCTGGCGCGGCGGCTGGACTGTTGATCGCCGATACCAGGGCCCGCCGTTCCAGTCCAGACCACTCGCCGAAGAGTTGGCTGAGGTCGTCGCCGGAGGCGACGGCTCGACGAATCATGTCGAGCGCCGCGACAACATCGGCGGACTGGTAGGCCATGGCGTCAGGAGGGATCTACCGGAAAGCTGAAAATCGTCGGGGGACGTGGAGCAGACAGCGGCTGCAGCATCCACGTCGATTCGACGGTTGTCCCTACGCACATGAATGTGCTACACAACAAAGAAGCTGCCTACTTCCAACGGGTTGAGCTGCTGGAAGGCGATGAGGCAACGTGGCTCGGTAGCCTGGGAGGCCTCGTCGATGACCACCTTGCAGCTTGATGGATTTAGGCAATAGGCAGCAGGCAACGGTTCAGGAGAACGGGCTGCTCTTTGTCAGGCTTCGTAGGTGGAGAATCGCCAAACCGAGACAACTTCTGAAAAACGTAATTTTTTACAGTTCCCGTAGTCCGGATAGCTGTCGGAATGAGGCGACTGGGTGCGGCATCAGGGGACCGGCACATGTGTATACACGTATGTATGTGTATCTGTGTATATTTCTATGTATATGTATAAGACTATATATATATATATATATATATATATATTCATACACAGACACACATACATACATACATATATACATACATATGCATGCATAGATATCTACTTACAGCGATGTCCATGCTACCATACCATACCACCACACCACACCATACATACAATGCACACAAAACGTACACACACACACACACTACATACCTTTCGACCTGCATACCACTACATTACCTGCCATGCCAGTTACCAGCCCATACCATACCACACGATGCCAGACTAGACCAAATCGGTGGCCAGGCAGGAAGGTAGGCAGGCAGTCAGCCACGTAGTTAGGTAGATATGCATGGCTGCATGCATGTATGCAAGTGTGTTTGCCTGCTCCCACCAGCCTGCCAGCAGGTCTTTGCATGCACAAGCTTCTGTGTTTATATATATATATATATATATATGTATATATATATATGTATATATATATATATATATATGTTTGTATGTGTGTCTGTGCGCATGCCGAGTATGTATGTAATGTATGCATGCATGCGTCACGTTTATGCATGTATCATGCGCGTTTGCATGTCTCTGCATGTCTCTCCCCGGCTCTCTGTGTACGGTTGCATTTGCTGTGTCTGGGCGTGTCTCCGCGGTGCATACGACTAATGTCTGCATCTTATGGGCCACGGTGATTGGGGCGGGTCTGTTTGTGTGCTTGATTGAAACTGGTCTGTCTGCTTCCCCCGGCTACTGATGTTTTGGTCGTGAAGTTGCGCGATCTGCAGCCTTGATACGAGACGAGGGGGGAGTTCTGCTTCAAAGCAATGTCGGTTCTCGGCTCGGCTCAGGCTAGAGCGGCTAGAGCTTAACCTTGACACTTCTCTATCACTCTCCCGACCTTCACACACATTACCGTTCTCAGCAATCACCGAAAAGGCCCGGATCACCCCCTCAAGCATCAAAGGTCATGCTTTCTCCTGCACATGCCACAAAGAAGACCCAAGACCCAAGAAACTCTATGTGGAATAAGTAGTTATGCAGGCACGATGTCTCGAAAACAAAGCCGGCAGTCCGAAAACCCCTCCAGAGCCCCCTGCTGTGTGGAAGTTACTCCGCAGCAAGGCGTCGCAGCCGCAGCCGACCAGAGTGGCACAAATGACCTGACAACAAGGGCTATAATGGCTAAGCCACTGCGGCCAAATAGTACGAACAGTCTGCCCAGTCCTGGCTTGCAGCTACCAGTTCGTGGCACAGCAATGAGGCCGCTCGGTTGCTGCAGTCTGCGCCGAACTTAGTCAAGCCATGCCTCAGCATTGGCAATCAAGTCGTCGGTCACCTGGTAATCATTCGAAAAAGGTTGTGGCAGGCTGCTGGCGCATGTCTGCAAGGTGTTCGTGGTCGCAGCAACGACAACAAAAGAACACGACTTCTGTCGTACTGTGGTCAGGCGTCGTCGGTGTTTTGTTTTGCTTACGCTTCAACTGCAGAAGTTTCGGTAGGAAGCTAGTAATAGCAACAGCAGCAACAGCCCTTGCTCGTTTGCCTCCTGCTCGTACTTCTGGATGTCCCGGACGTGCAAGGAGATGTCACGGTGGGCAAGGCCTTTCCCCTTGCCCTTGAGCGAACCTGCCGCAAGCTATGGTAGGCATATTCTGCCGAACACATGGCCTCACAGCATGAAGGTCAAATGCATCTAACGTTCCATACATTGTCATGTCTCAGCCTGAGTACAATGCGTCCTTCACTTTGGACAGGGCCTCCCGCCTTGGAGCCATCAGTCTGCAAGTGTCGGCAAGCAGACCACGGGCGTAAGGCTTCACGGCCTTACGCCCGTGACACCACAGAAGCGAACAGCAACCTCTGGCTTTGGCTGAGCTACCAACGTCTCCTCGATCTTCGAGTTCCTTGTCATTCGTGTCTGCAAATGCCCAACTTACAAGGGCAAGCCATCAAATCTAGGATTCCTACTTCCAGCCTTCGAGACGCTGGCCCCAATCTTACATCCAGACCCCTGAAGCCCGCACTCCAGTCTGCAAGTCTGGGGCAGCTTATCAACTTGCCTTGCTGCCAGGCCGCAGAGGGTGCTCCTGGAGTGCTGTGGTAAAATCGTGGCATTGGGAAGGCATGGAGGGCTCTGGAAACTTCGGGAGGGCAACCCAGCACATTCGGCCACATCAGGCAAGCTCTGTTGACCTGCCCTAGAGCGCGCGTTGCAGTAAGTAGAACAGCCAGCAACTCTACGACGCTACGAGTCTTCGGACACCAGAAATAGCCGTTGTTTGAGAAGGGTTGCCCCAGGCCATGACCGAAGAAGTAGCCAAATCCAACCGCGAGAAGATGCTCGGCTATGCTGCACCACACCACATTGTTATCGAAAACCTAGACCTGTAAGGACCTAGCCCAGGCTCTGCACCGCGTAACGCCCAAAACAACCCCAAAAGTTTGGATTGATGCGCCTCTGCCTGGGCCAGAAGAGTGTGTGCGCGAAGCTCCTTCTCGGAAACTCAGACAAAAGGGCTGGAGCTTAAGCTTGGTGGCTGGTGGCTTCATGGCTCCCATGGTGCTTTCCGTCGAAACGTAATCCAGCTTCGGGGTACCAGGACTCAAACATGCAGCCCTGTCAGTTCCGCCAAAAGCTCTGGGGCCTGGCTCACTTTCGACGGGAAGCCAATCCGAAGTGCCTGCAGGACACGCTGTCTGCAGGTGAGGTAACTGTTGAAGGGTCACCGACGTTCTTAATCTGGGGCCGTGAATCATCCGGCGAAGCGATCGGTGAACAGTGTGGCTTAAGAGCACGGTTCTTCGACTTCCGTTTTGCACAGAGTGTCGGTGAAAGATCTTAGGTGACATCACTGCCTGCCACTTGAAAACATGACACCATCCATGTCGATCATACCTTCTATCGTCGACGCACAGCTAGGAGGAGCACCATAAGCTGTTCTGCAACACGAGGAAGGGGAGAACAGCATTCCAATCCCCGAGCTGGGTTCTGAAGTCTTGATTAATAGGCGTTAAACTTAATTCTAGATCGCCTTGACACCCAAACGGATCAATCCTGCCAGCAGCTGATCCACGGCCACATTGCCTTTCATGACTTTCCAGAAATGCTGCGTCTGGGATTGGGAAACTGGGAGAAGCAGGTATTTCACGGTCACCAACAGGATCCCAAAAGCCTTGGAATGCTATGTCGTTCTTGAAGTGCACGAAAGCTACCGCATCCACACGTATGCTTTAGAACATATGCCATGACAGGGTACAAGAACCAAGCCAAACATGTAGCACGCCTCTTCGAAATGTCATACATCATTGATGTTGCGTCAGGTGCTGGACTGAATACACACCCCAGCTTGCACAGGTGAAGCATAACCGCTGCCCGGGCTCTGTCAGCAGCAACCAAGATGTTACAGCCAAGGCCGTCCTGCATTAGCTGTGAAATGTTTCGGCAGGAAGCGAAAAATCTCAAAGATTGGCCCATAGTCGGAATAGCGTCTCAAGATGCAGCTGCTCGGAGAGACTCGCATCACAAACGGAAGCCCGACAATCCGCAATAGCAGGGGTTCGGCTCAGCGCTTGCAGTGAGCGTGGGCGATGGAACTGAGTAAAAACAGGCGCCCCTTTATGCCACCCAAAGCTCAGGTAGCCTTGCAGTTTTGAACAGCATGAAGCTGATCCTGGCAGTGCTTCTCCACAAGCCGGCGGACGAGGTGACAGGTAGTCGTGGTCTTCCCTGCAAGGACAATGCGGCGAACCATCTTCTCGGATGCACGGCAGAATCTGAGCTGTCCCCTCCCAAGTCATGATGAAGGAAGGAGCTAGCAGCTATCGGAGGATTTCTCGATTGAGGGGCAAACAGCTGGCCTGTGCCCGGAGGACCTTGGATCAAGCCCAAGGGAGCCTGGCGAAAAGTCAGGTGGACATGTTGGATCCGGCATGTTCGACCCCCCGCCCACGTGTTTCTCACTTGCTCACTTGGTGTCCAGGAGCTCGCAGGCTAGACAAAATTGAAACTGCAACGGTCGACGCGGCAGCCTGCAAAAGAAGTCTAGACTCGGATCATGCTGCCCCGAAGGTTGACGTTAAACCTCAGCATGGAGCCAGTTGCTGCGACTGCACGGGGACGCACTTTGAGAATGTCGCAGCTGGATCTGTGTAGGCTGCTTATCAACGCTATGAAGTTCACACAGTCCGTGGAAGGCATTCATCAACTCCCTGTCGGGAGTACAGGTGTCTCACCCATGAGTATGATCGATATCACCATGTCCAACCTCGATGCCAACAGTTCTAAATCTAAACCTTAATGCAGACTGCATTACCCGAACCCTACACACCTAGACGCTAAAGAACCCTCAACACCCCACAATCCTCAAAACCTGAAAGATCCTGAAAGTCCCTCGGAACGCAGAGCCTGGCCTCAAATGCCTGAAGCGCTGCGGCGCTCTGTGAGGCATCCAGCGGGTTCCAGGCCTCCGGGTTCTTTTACAGTCGGAGTACCTAGTAGGTAGAGCCTGGAAAAGAAAGGGTTCGGTTTTCGGGATTTAGTTCCTTTCGGCAAAAGCTTGTAGACCTCCACCATTAGTACACATGTGCCGATGACATGTCGCACTACTCTTCATTCCCGACCGGCCGCCGCCGAAGCCTGTTAAAGTATGTTAAAACAGCACTAAAATTCGAAAACGCAAGCATTCAAAGCTTCTTTTTGAACTCCTCAAAGGCCGAGGCGTGAATGCTACGCCCTGAAATCCACTTCCCAAACCCTGTACGCTACAAGATAGCGGACTACGAAGCCTCATGTGGCTCGGCCGGCTCGCGCTTCTGAAGCAGGCCGCCTTCCTATGCAGATTTCGCTGCAGGTCTTGAATCTCACAGTGTTCAAGGCTGAGGAGGCTGCAAATTGTGTGTTTTGTGGTTGTTCGAGTCGGTTGCGGAAACACCACCTAGTGACAGTAGTCGTCATCGTTGTCGTCGCCGTCCTAGTTGTAGGAGCAGTAGCAGGAGCAGTAGCAGAGGCAGTAGTAGTAGCAGCGGGAGTAGTCGTCGTCGTAAAAGAAGTAGCAGTGGTAGTGGTAGTACTAGATATAATGATAATGGGTGACAGTCACAATAAGTGTAGTAGCTGTAGTGGTGTCTGTGGAGCTGGTAGTGCTGGTGGTGGTAGTGGTGGTCGCAGAAGTAGCAGCAGTAGTGTGGCAGTAGTGTAGTAGTAATCGTCGTCGTAGTAGCAGTGGTAGTGGTCGTGGTACCACCACCAACACCACCACCACCACTACTACGACTACCATTGCCACTCACACTGCCACTACCACCTCTACTAATAACTAGTACAACCAGCTACTAGTTAGTACTTCTAGTACTACTGGTACTACTGACATTTCTAGTCTTAGTACTTGTACACTGGTACACCAGTACAATTCAATAGTAACAATAGTACCCTAGATCACTAATACAGCAATAGTAGTGGTAGTCGAAATCGTACTACTACTACTACTACTACTACTACTACTACTACTACTACTACTACTACTACCACTACTATTACTACTACTACTACTACCACCACCACCACCACCACCACCACCACGACTACTACTACTACTACTACTACTACTACTACTACTACTACTACTACGACTACTACGACTACGACTACTACTACTACGACTACTACTACTACTACTACTACTACTACTACTACTACTACTACTACTACTACTACTACTACTACTACTACTACTACTACTACTCTAACTACTCTACTACCACTACTCTACTACCACTACTCTACTACTACTACTACTACTGCTACTACTACTGCTACTACTACTACTACGGTACTACACCTTTACTAATGCAGCAAATCCGGCAGTGGCAACAGAAGCAGCAGCATCCATTCATGTAGAACAAGCACAGCAGCACATAGCAGCACTGTGTACTTTACTGGTGATTGCTCTTACTGGTGTTGACGCTTTGTTTTTGAAGCGGCTTTGCTCCATTTATGTTGTCGCTGGTGCTTGCTGTTGTCGTTGTTGCAGCTGTAGTCGATACTGACTTGCTTTGTGTTGCTTTTGCTGCTGCAGTTCTGTTAGTCACTAGTCACGATGGATAGTGCAACAGAGGCATGCAAGAATCGTATCGAACCTGGGCCACTACCAGGCCGATTCGAACTAGTCCGGCCTCGTTCAAGACCATCTTTCTTATCGCGGGTGCTCGGAACCTGATGGCAGCCACTGGAGAGCTGCTGAGTCCGCAAAGACGTAGGGGGTCGATGCTACCCACTGCCCATCGCCAACTATGAAATCTAGGACTGCGTTTTCGGAGTCGCCCACACAAACTCCGAACTCGGGAAGTCTAGGCGGCTGCTGGCTTCTTCATAGATCGCGTGAAAACCGCGGAAATGCCCTGCTGCTGCTGGACCTCTATGCTAAGCAAGCCTTCAATAGGCTTTTTTGGCTTTTGCTGAAATCGCTGAGCTTTGGACTTCGCACCGGTGACGTAGCCCAAGGCCGATTTCGTCCTAGCAGCAACTTGGGAAAGCGGATGCTGAGGATGCATGTCCCAGGTCCCAGCCCACATCTGAAGAAGCACAAGATCATCCCATCGTCTGCAAAGCAGAGAGTAAAATGCAGTAACGTGTCAGTGTCAGTCAAGAACTACTGTCCTTTCGTAGGCCGTTTTATTTGCACCACGGTCTAATCTCCAGCGTCCGCTTGTCAGCTCCCAGGGCGTCTTGTCCTCAAATGGCAAGCCAACATCAGGCGCTTCTTTTCGAAGAACTTCCGCAGGATGCAATATGTTTCCTGACTTTGCAGCTTCCATGTCCGCCAGGTGGCTGAGACGATGGTGATCCGATTCATGCCGAGCCTGCATATCGCAGGTTGGCCGGAATGCAAGAGCTTTGAGCGTTGAACCGGCGAGGTGCTCGTACAAACAGATGAGCAATGCGTAACCCGCACATTACATGGCAGCTAATTCTCGAGCAAAGCACCTTGCTTGTGGTAAACTGGTGAACCCCAAGCTGGGGCTTTCAGTCGTCAATGGCAGCTTCGGCGGTCTCGCAGTTTTTTTGAGACGGATCAGGCTCACACGGGAGCTGTTGCGTCGGACAGCAAGTTAACACCGCTCCAGGTATAAGTGCTGGTCTCCAACATGGAAGCTGATTCTGCAGATCGTGAATACAACTAGACGAAGCGGTCAGCTCCAGATAGTCAGATATCTGGGACCAGTATGCTTGTACGGAAGCTTCAATTTGCATCTTTGCGCCATGTTTATGGCAAAAATCAGCTGTAGATCACAATCAGCTTTACAACCAAGCAACGCCAAAATGCTACGGGTGCACGTGCAAGGCACGCGCACTCAGACCAGGTAAAAAGTAGACAGCATACATTGAGTTGAACATGCTGCAGCGATGAGGTTCTACCAGGTTCCTGCAACACCAAACAAATGCGTGCTAGTCACTTTGGCCAAGGGGCTCCAGAATTTCGCCTCAGTTCCAGTTCACACTCTGCCCACACTCACCCCTCAGCAAGGCTAGGAGCAAGACTCATTGTCGTGTGTATTGACTGCCCCTTGGGTACACAGCCGCCAGCCCTTTGTGGCGGCAAGTTGCTCAAAACATGGAATGCTCCCTTCAAGGTTGTCACGGATGCTAGCAAGCTCTGTGAGCATTATCGGCAAAAATTGAACCATGGTGTGTCTCAGTGCGGCTGAACTCAAGCTCAACTGTGAGTTGCATGGTGCCCTTCCACGGGACACTATCTCCTAGCCCTTGGATTCCTGGCAGATACAAGTCTCCGTGTCTCAGCAGAGGAGTGCGACATTAAAGATCGACTTCCCGGATCTTTGCGGCTCCTGTTGACTTCAGCTCCCCTCTCTTCCCCTGCAGCAGTTCCTCAAATGCACCCTCCGTTATCCTTCAAAAGAAGAAGCATCATCTGGACCAGACCACGGTACCCTTCCATGCTGTTTTCTCGTCCAGTGGATGCCCGCGGGAAACGATGACCTCGTCGCCGGAGGAGAACTGGTGCCTGAGGTGTGACAGAGAGCCGCTACAGGGACCCTCTTCCATGAGGCGCGACAGCTTGAACTCGAAGCAGTTGAAGCAGTTATGCTTGTGATGGCGACAGCAATATGTAGGGAAGAAGAGTCGATGCGCAGCAGAAGCATTGATGTGCGCTTTGCTGCTGCTACTACTACTACTACTACTACTACTACTACCACCACTGCTACGGCTACTGCTACTACTACTACTACTACTACTACTACTACTACTGCTGCTACTGGTATTGCTACTGGTACTGCTACTACTGTTTTACTGCCACTGCCACGACTTCTCCTATTGCTACTCCTGCTACAGCCAGTCCTGATGCTACGGCTGCTTCTGCTGCTGCCGATGCTGCGGCTACTTCTACAAGCAGTACAACAACCACAACGAGGACAACAACAACAACAACAACAACAGCTACAGCTACAGCTACGGCAACAACCACAACCGCAAAAAAAAAACAACGAGTGATTGGCGACGATGAGCATCTCTCGGAAACCCGATCACAGGACCCGGAGTGAGAGCTCAGATCACGGCGCACGACAGACAAGCATTTCACACCGCCTGGGAAGCATCGCTTTGGAGAAGGCGATCTTCGCTTTCCCAAAGAAAGTACCTGGAGGGACAGACTCAGGGATGTCTTCACCATTCTTCACCAATGTAACAACCAGGAGAGGAATGTCACCAAACTGTCCACTTTCTGTAATCCCCCCAGCACCCGACCTTATATCAAAGCCCAGGGCCCAGCCCCAGAGCTGTCCCTGCGCCTCGTCTGCGTGCTTCCATCTCCGTGATGCAGAAGCCTTGCATCCCGGACCAAGGCGAGAAAATTGTAGTTGACTCAGGAGCTCGATCGTTGTCATTGTCATTGTCAGTACAACTGCTGTCGCTGTTGCTATAAGTTACTTAAATGTGATCGCTGTTGTCCGTATTGTTGGTATTGCGAACAGTATGGCCATTGCTACTATTATCATGGTTAGTCTGATTACTACTGCTGCTACTGCACCTGCTGCCACTACCACTACCACTACAACTACGACTACCGCTACTGCTGCTGCTACTACTACTACTACTAGGTACTACTACGACTACGACAACGCCTTCTATAACGACGATTACTACAACTGCTACTGCTACTGCTACTACGATCACTACCACTACCACTACCACTACGACTACGACTACGACTACTACTACTCCTACTGCTGCTACTACTACTACTACTGCTGCTACTGCTGCTGCTACTGCGACTGCGACTGCTACTGCTACTGCTACTGCTACTGCTACTGCCACTGCTACTACTGCTACTGCTACTGCTACTGCTACTGCTACTGCTACTGCTACTGCTACTGCTACTACTACTACTACTACTACTACTGCTACTACTACTACTACCACTACTACTACCACTACTACTACTACTACTACTGCTACTACTACTACTACTACTACGACTACGACTACGACTACGACTACTACCACTACTACTACTACTACTACTGCTACTACTACTACTACTACTACTACTACTGCTACTTCTCCTGCTACTCCACTACCACTACCACTACGACGACGACGACTGCGACAACGATGGCTGCTACTATGACTACTACTACTGCTGCTACTCCCGCTACTACTACTTCTAGAATTTGCTAGTACTACTGTTATGATTATTCGTATTTTGTGGTTGCTTCTGTTGCCGCTGAATTAAAAGCCGTAGTGTTAACAGAGTGAGTATGAGCCTGAGTATGGTCATGATGGTGATGATGCTGGTGATTTGTGATACTGCTCGGAATATTGGGTGGGTTCTGAGTACAAATCTTGTCATTGTTGCTCGTATAACTCTTACAGCGCCCAGCCGGCCTTGGCCCACCAGCCGTGCCACAGGCCTGATGACAGCTTCGAAGGCAAAAAGATGCGATTCCCAAGCTAGGACTCGGAAGCCTGGAAGGCCAAAGGCTCCTGATCACAGCCCGCAAACCCAGAATCAGAGCAGCTCCTGCGCTTTAGATTCGCTTTTTCAACGCGTGTAATGTTGAAGGAACGCAGCCCGGCTGCCAGTTCCTGAGGCGATCGTCCACTACTCGCATCTCCTGCATGCAGCGGCTGATCATCGGAACCACGGGTAGTTGCAGCTGCTGCATTAATATCATTGCTGTTGTTGCACTACTTAAACTTATCAACACGCTTTCTACATTCCATCCGCATACCTGCTCATCATACTCGTGCTTGGGCAGCTCTTATTGCTATGTTGTTTGCCTTGCTTGTCGTAGCTATGCGTTCTTGCTATTGCAGTGTTCGGCGTGTTGTCGCTGTCACTAGTATGAACATCAGCCTGTGAAGATCAGCAGTTGTCGGCGTTCGAAACGATCAGGGCAGTTTCGGGTATCGAGTTTCAGACCTGTTGCATGCTGTAAGTGAGCACCAGGCATGACGTTCGCTCAGTCCTCACGCCACTCCATCTCCACCAGGTCCTTCCACTTCTCCTGCACACAGCTTTTTCTCTTCGGAGCTGTGGGATTCAAGATTATAGTTGTTGTAAACCACTGCACACACGCACTGTTGTATATGTCCGTCCAAGTGATAACAAGCAGCTTGTACCATGCGGTAACTACGCACCTTTTCCTGTTAGAGCACTTGTGCCACAACGCAGTACACACAACATGCTACTTCACACGTGCACAAATTACACCCCCCTCGCCGAAGCGTCAGTCTGAGGCGCAAACATGCACGGAAGCTTGGTGCTGTGTGGCCTGCCGTAAAGGCGGCTGGATTGTGGCTCGGGGCTCATAGGCTTTCTACTACCGTAAAGCGGAAGATACGGAAGCAGATTAATTCTTTTAGCGCGCAGTTTAAAGTCGCGACATGCATTATAAAATGGCGACGATCCAGCAAGCCTTGAATGATGGCGTGGATACAAGTCGCAAGACATGTGCAGCATGGGACGAATACATCATCCGCTGGAGCTGCTGACGAATCCCCTCGAGGTCCAAAGACCTGGTTTCGGAGTTGTCACAAAGTGACTGCCAGATGATGCAAGATGAAATTTTTCTGGTCTTAAGGAAATTCGGCCGCCTCTAAGAGGGGCTGTATTTCGGAGTACCGGTTAACGTGACGGAACCACGAAGTGTGGGTCAGGTACTTAGTACCATCCCCGGGAACCGGAGGAGCGCCCATAGGGGTGGGATCCTCGCTGGTAGCCGCGATCCCATCCCTGCTCCTGGTAGCGCTGCTGCTCTGCTCTGCGGGCATCAGCTTTGGCTTGCGCGATGCGAGAGCGTTCAGCGTTGCGCTGTCGTTCTTCGTATGCACGGCGTGCAATTCCGACCTGTTCCGCGAATTTCTCACGGAGCCACTCAGTCCAGTCCTCAGCAGAATAGCCGAGTCTTGGATCAACATAGAGTGCCTCTTCTGAGAAAGTAACAATCATCTTCACGATTTTGTGCTGGAGGAAAACATCTACGAACTTGCGCAAACTGTATGCCCCTCCCAGCCACATGATGCAAAACGGATCGTCACTCACTGCGGAGATCAGGCCTGCCCTAAGGGCGGCTGGATTGCAGTCGTGCAGGTAGAGCAACCGAGCGATCTCCTGGTTCCGTGGCCCTTCGGAGCTTCCACCATAGGTCCCGACAGCTAACTGTCGTTGCTCCTTTGAACGGCCATGGTTCGGCAAGGCAGCGTGCGTAAGCACGTCTTCGATGGCCAGAAACTCTCGATCGTACCCATTGCCGATGGAACTCATTGTGTAGTCCACATCGTTATCGAACCGGTGTACGATGCTCGTGTAGCCTCCTTTTGTAGCCATCTTGAGCTGCTGCCGGGCTTTGTCCAGCGCCTCTGCGTCGAGCGATGTCGTTCCCCGCTGTGTTGAAGAATCTCTGGTCATTTCATGAATGACCTCCTCCGGTGTAAGCTGGGAACGTGGCTTGCCCGCAGCGGCGGCGGCTGCCTCTTCAGCGAACCAACGAGCCGAACGCGCTTTCTTGCGTGCGTTCTGCTGAGAAGGTTTCACGATGTGCACGCCACAGCTCAAGCATATCATCTGTCCCACAAGGTGTTGAGTACCGCAGTGGGGACATGCCCTGTGGCGGCCATCCGTAACGGGGGCTGGAGGGAGAGCCAAAGGAGTCGATTCCGGCTGAGGCGGTGCCTGCTCGAACATCGGCTCGATCTTGATCTCCTCCTCCCTTTTCACATCTCCTTCTTCAGGCTCGATTTCGATCTCGACTTCAACGGGATCTTCCGGTTCGAGGAAACGGACACGCTTTCTGGACTCAGTCGGTGCCTCCGGTGGAGAAGCACCCCCCTGGTCCAATGTTGTGGTTTCCTCCGGAAGGAAGTCGGATGCTGTGGCGTCGTTGAGCGCAAGAGGTTCTGGCGATGATGCTGGTGGTGCCACCTCAAGCTCAACTTCGACCATAGGCTCGTCTGCTGTTGCAGACTCTGTTGTCTCGACCTCTCCATGGCCACCACTAAGTGGGGCTGAAGGTTCCTCCGGTACATCGGGGAACTGTTCCGGCTCAGCTGCTCCAGGATCGACAATGGGATCCTGGGCAGTTTCCGGGATGATGGTGTCCTCTTCCTCGCTGGACTGACGCGACCACAGAATGATGCCTTTGATCGTGTCCCTGATGTAGAGCACACAAGATCCTGGCACTGGGTCGCGCGTGAGTATGCCTTCGGAAGTTGTTTCAAACAGGTAGGCATAGCGGTTCACCTCCTGCGTGTCGAGAACAACTTCATAAGGAAGGTTTGCTCGGCTTCCAGCTTTATTCTCAAGCTCGCTCAGCGTGGCCTTCGCGAAGTAGTTATGAAACTTCCCGCTCCGGTTGAAGCCAGCTGTGAACCCAGTAGAGAGAATGTTGAAAGCTGAATCATGCGTGGTTCGATGATACAAGCGTGGGGGAAACTCCCCAAGAGCAAGGAATGGCCTGCCTTGATAGGCGGCTGTAGGACCAAGCTCCTCACGCGTCTCGTTCGTGAACCAATGCAGAGCAATCGAGGAATCAGTCACCTGGTCTTTTATGCGTTCACTGTGACCGTGTGACGCACAAATCCACGACGGCCAAATGTCCGTCTCGATGAAGTCAGCACGTGGATCGGTGGGGAGGCCTGCCAAGTTAAACCTCGATTTGTTATCGTAGGCGACTATGGACAAGATACCTCGAGTTCCCAGATCCACACGGTGCTTCTTCCACATGTGCTGAATGAGGTCTTGGATGCGTACCCATTTGCCTCGCCGTGAGCTGAGCTTCACGTTCGACCCTCGGACAGCACCTGTGAGGTAGCGCTCAACATAGGGTTTGAGGCCTAACTCAGGGAGGTGGTCCTTTGGAATCGAATCGGGGAGGATCTGGACGATCTCGCTCCCCTCAGGATCCTCCGGACAGACATCTTCATCGATGAAGCCGCACATCTCCATCAGGTCCAAATCATCTTGGAATTTTACCCCGATGTAGTCGTGTGGGCGAGCCCTTAAAAGGCCGCTGGAAGGGTCCCGGTCCTTCTTGGTCATGCCCTCTTTCGCAGCAGACAGAGTGCGGTGTGACTCAGTGCGATAAGGGATGGCCTCGATGACATCGTCAAAGGACACTTCCGGTACATCGCGAGAAGATGCACTGCCAGATGGGCCACCACTAAGTGGGGCTGGATCCTTTCGCTCAGCACGGGCACGTGCTTCCGCCTGCTCTTTTGCACGCTTTTGCGCCTGCTCGCGAGCTGTGGCCCATTCCCAATTCAGGACATCCTGAGGTACCTCACGCATTCCAGTGACCGGGAGATCAGGTGGAGGAACATAAGGGGATTCCCATGGGTCAGGGCACTCATTTGCAGCTTCGCGAATCTCGGCCTGCCTTAAAAGGCGGCGGGAGAGCTGGGACCGATACAGCGCCTTGTCGAAGACATACTGCATGGAATATACCCGCGTTCCTTCTGGGTCGAAGGGGAAACGGCGGGCCAGCTCATCCAGCGTCTCTGAGGGCATCTTTGCGAATAAGTGGTCAGCTTGACACACTTTAATCCGCTGCCCGATAACAGAGGCCAAGGCTGCGCGATGCGTAGAGTCCTCGCGGAAGTGGTAGTGGTCGTGCTTTGGGATCTGGCATACGCTTTCTTTGAGCGAAGCGGTGTATAACCCCCTGCTCCTTGCGTATCCGAGGAATTTTCGGATAGCTGTTCTGTATTCCGCTGGCAGCCCATAGTCCAGTGGGTCGGCATCCGAGAGGATTTGTATCGACCCAACTGTTGGCCTGCCCTGAAGGGCGGCTAGACGGCCAATTTCACCGCACACACGTGCGGCAATGTCCGCCCAGATCCCTTCCGCGGCAACGCCTTCAGGACCAATCTGCCAGTGTGGCGTTCCTGGGTCGACGAAGACACCTCTGCGACCGCACAGTTCGTTGCCCATCCACACAACAACGATATCGACCTCGAGATGCAAGGGATTTAACGATTCGTTGATGATCTGCGGCAAGAGCGTGTGAACTGCCTCAACGATCGAGTGGAGGTTGCCTCCCCAAATCGCCTTTTGCCGGACATTCGTGTATTGCTGAAGGATATGACCAGGCCCCGTCAGAGCTTTAAAGTCTTCCGCCATCTCAACGAATGTTCTCGCCCCAGCCTTGAAAATGAGGGTAGAGTCGGAAACAATGATGCAGGCTTTTTCACGGCCACGGCTATCGCCGGGCTGGAAACGCGACAACCCCTCGTCGTTGATCCGTGCCACCTTAGGGAGGGCCTTATAGCCATGATCAACATCTCCCAGACACGTAGACAAAGCGGTTTGCGCGATTGCGCCTGTGTAGAGCTGTTTCACGCTCTCTTCCCAGTCACGGTCTGGGTTGAGTCCGAGCTCGTGTCCGAAGACACCGGCCCACATATGGTAGTGAGCCCACTCCCGCTTGATTGAGTCACCCGATGCGGCAATCGTCGCTGGCGCCGACGGCTTGTTCTCGCCTTCTGCTCGCACTCGGGGATCACTAATCATCTCTGGCGTGCTCTGATGAGCCGCTGCACAGGGGCAGGCAAGCACCTTCCTAAAGTTCGCAAGATTAGCAAGATGTGAAGATGTGAAATCCTCTAAATCATCATGATCTGCGACTTCGTGCTTGTAAGATGCCTTAGCGATCAGATGCTGGTTTCCTGAGCGGAAGCTTTCCTTAGCAAAGTTCGCAAGTGGCAATGCCTGGAGCCCTGCGCACACCAGATATGCGTTTTCAAGTCGTGCAACTTCGGCATTAATTCCGTCGAACATGAATTCGTCGACGGGCCCACACAAGAGAACACAGAAGTTACTGGAAAACAAGTGAGCCAATTCACCAATCTCAACAAGACTCCTTTGTAACCTCCTCAAGTCACCTTTAGAGAGCGATGTCATCACCACCGTGACAAGCGAAAGTGAAGTGATAATGACTGCTCCCCCCTCATCGCGAACAGAAGTGATGAGGCGGGTCAAAGGCAACCATTGTAATGGAGTTTCGTGGCG